AAAATTCTCTACAAAAAAAATCTCGTTTGATTTTTCATAAAGTTCTTATTTATGGAGATATCCTCAATAATAAACTCATTAACTTCATTAAATCGCAATTTTAGATTTTTTTTAAATCCGTCTACTTTAAGAGATATTTTGAAAAAAATCTACGATTTTATGAAAAAAAAAAAAAATTACTTGGCTTGCGGCAAGTGTGTTCCTATTAAAAAAAAAACAATCCCTGTATTTTTTCATCAAAAGGTAGGTTTTTTAAGGCGTCAGAAAACATTTTAATTTTTAACTACCACTCTAGTGTTTACCCAATCGTAACTGTGTTTTAGTAGGTGATTTTAATTTGGATTTTTTAAGTAATAGTTTTTATGCTAATAACATAAAAAATATTTTTTTAACTTGTGGACTTAAGCAACTTATAACAGAGCATGCACGTATTACTGATACCAGTGAGTCATTAGTTGATTTTGTAATAAACCAAAATAATGTTTGAATAAAGATAATTTCCTGTCTCAGCAGAATTTTATTTAAATAAAAATTTCCTTGGCACTACATATGTTTCGGAAAAATTTCCATCTTCGGTTGCAGTCAAAATTTAATAAAACATGGGGGACGATTACAGTTTAAAAAATTTTAAAATAACAGAAACCCCATCTTTCTGTTTCAGCGTGTGAAGAAGGGGTATTCTTTTTTAGTAGAATTTCTTAACATATTTCAACTGAAACTAAGTTAACTGTATATAACACGAAAATACAACCCCATTTTGACTACTGTGCATCCATATTATTTATTTTTAATGATAATAAAACTAGTCAATTACAAAAACTTTAAAACAGAGTTATGAGAGCAATTATAAAAACTAATCGTTACACACCTATTGTTTTAATGTTAACTTCACTTCAGGATTTTCCTGTGCACCTAGGGCTACAAAATTCTAAATAATCTTGAGTCAGCCTACTTTAATGATTATATTGTTCATCATAGCAATATTCAACAGTATGCAACTAGAAATAATTTTCTATAACTTTGTGGAGCTAATAGAGCCAGTACAAAGAACTCTCTCTTTTTTAGAGGCTTCCATAGTTTCAATCAACTTTCTAATATTATTAAAAATAGTAATTCTGTAAATAGCTTTAAAACCAGTCTCATTAAATTCATTCATGAACAGCATATGTAACGTTTATATGTTTTATTTTTATATATTTTATGTATTCTATAATGGTAATTGTCTTTATTACTTTCTATTGTAAATTTTATTACTTATTACTTTTTTTATTGTATATTTAAAATTGATTTTGTATATTAGGGTTTCCTATTTAAATAAATACCTATCTATCTATACTAACAACAATCATACTCAAGGCTGGGATCTCACAAATGCATTAAACAATGTAATATAACTTTGTTTATTTCTAAATTCATTGCAATTTCTAAATACATGCCAAGCATGCACTTTGCTGCATCAGTTTATTATGATGTTGGTCAAAGCTAAGTTTTGAGAAAAATATAAAAATTGTTTCTGAGGCCAGAAATGAAAAAAGTACAATAAACTTAAATATATTTCTATAGTAGTTTAAGGTGCACCAATGAGAGAATTAACGTATAAGTTGTTTCTCTAAATAAAAGTGAATTTTTGTTTGGAAAATATTAAATGTTGAAATTGATATCAATCTCTGTCTAAAATCATCAGCAATTGTTTTTGTACATTTGACGCGATTATAGTGGTTCTTTGATAAAATAAATTAAATTCTGTTTTGATATAAAAACTCGTCCATCAAAAAAAAAAAAAAAACAATTTCTTGTTCACAAAACTGTGATAGCTGTATTGCTGTAGAAAATCCATCGTTTAATAATTATAAATACAAATTCTTCTCCAGTGGCATGCATATTTAATTTCTTAAATTTTTATTACTTTTATTTGATTTATTTTTTATCTTGTGTCTAATGGCTCCTGATAGTAACTGTGTTGAGTGCCAAATCTCTTGCACCTTTAAAGAGAGCAAATCAGGAACATTTGGTTCTCCTTGCTATTTATGCAAGATTTTTTTGCAAAAAAGTGTGCTAATCTTTCATCATCTGAAATCCTCGTAGTAATTATGGTTTCTAGAGTAATTTAATATGCATGAAAATTTAATACACATTCCTGATATTATCAAGAGAATTGGTGTACTTGAAGGGAATGCTCAAAATCAGACTTCTAAAACTAAATAATAATAGTTTAATAGTTATAAGTTACAATAATAAATAAGTTACAATAAAGTACAATAATGGAAACCAATTATATAAAAACAAGCACCTAGGTGAGAACACCTGTATGTGCTGACAAAAATTAAAATTTTATTTTAATTATATTTAATGAATTATAAAGAAAATAAAAAATAAAACTTGAACAATTTATGCAAGAAACAGAAAAAAAACTATTTAAAAAAATCCATGTATTAAGTCCGTTATTCTTGGAATATTCTGATAAACTTTGCATTATTTTGAAAATTGTATATTTTGCTAACTTTACAGAATTTTTTATATTTGTTTAATAATTTTATATGAAGAGGTAGAGCGTTATAGAACTTTGTCCCTAGATAATTTACACTGTTTTTAAAAAACTCACTATTTGGTTTTGGTACTTTAATGCACATGTTCGATGCAGTTATGTCTATGTTCTAAAGGGTTTTTTAAAAATTCATTTTTTTTGTATATAACAACACGTGAATATATAAACATCTAACATTGCTAATTTTTTCATTATATAAAGTTATGGTGGGACACAATCTATCTCTTTTATATATTAACTTTTCAAGATTTTGTTTTGAATAACATTTAACTGATTTAATGTAGTTCCATACAGGCCTCCCCCTGGAAAACTTTAAGAGCAAACAAAATTAGCGCTGTCATGTCTTATGTGATTTTTTAATATAAAATATTTTTTTTAAACACTGATTGGGATTGTCACAGGTGCCATTCGGTAAAGTACAATGCTTTTACAAGCTTTTGGGGTATATTTTATTTCATTATCAGATGGCAGTAAAAGTTTACAGTGGGCTCTTGTTTGCGAAACTGGATATCATACTTTGTTTACAAAAGTCAATGTGCAATTTTTCTGGTGCTGATGTTGAGCAACAGTTAAAATTAAACAAAACTCAACAAGTACTGTTCAGAAGACCCAACAAGTCACCATACTCAACTGTTGCGTTGCCTGAACGTACCCATCGAATCATTTAATATGGAAATGGAAGATAGGCGAATGAGAGCTAGAAATGTGATTCTAATTTAAACTACAGGACCCACATTCACTAATAAAATTATAGATGACAGTGATAACGTTACTGATTTTGAGGTCCTTAGTTAACAATGTTAACATAAAAAAATGTACTTAAGAAAAACTCAAACCATAAGAAAGTATTTTGAATTGGCTTCAAAAATACTTTATTCTCGAAGAAGTGCAACTTATTGACAAAGCTAGAAAACAGATAGGTAAATAACACTTAAAACCACAAAATACAGAAAAAAAAATTACATATACAAAATATTAAATATAGTATCTGAAATAATTATTTCACTTTTTTGGTAATAATTTCATAATCTATTTATAACATGTTGCCAAATTTGGCAGAGGGTTATTATGTTTGTCAAGGAATATGATTTCATTATAATATTAAATTTTATTATAGAGGATGTCACATGAATAATATGTGATGATGAAATTAAATTACTTGTTTATAGAACCTGTTGGTAACTATTATGTACATTTTTTTTTTAAACTTTTTGGAAAAAATAAACTAACAAATAGTTCAGAATGGAGAAAAGTGCTTTAAAATTATAGAAAATATTTCAAGTTTTTTTATTTGAACCAAGTTGTATTGTGTTGAGTATGGGGCATTAATACACTGGGACCTAAAAGATTGTATTATACCCCATTCGGTCACTAATGAAACAAGGAAATAGTCTCAATGTCTATAACACCCCTTCCAATCCTATCATCTCAAAGAGGTGTAGAATTTGGAGTGGCTTTAAGTTTGGTAGATTCTTCTAGCATTCCAAATAATTCTTCTAAATAAAGTGCCCTTGGATTCTGGAGCACTACACATGCTTGGGCAGATACAGGCTTCCAATCTTTTCTGGTTATATTCACCCAGAAGTATCTTAGCCTGTCTCAGCCCCAAGAGATTGTTCCAATTATCGGTTCTTCTATTCTAATTATTTTTTAATCTCTCCTAATAGTGTGTTACTGCAGAATGGCTCAGATCCCACAAAGGGTGTTTGAACCCCTTTCCTTGGGAGACTATCTATAATGTCGTTACCCTTTACCCTGTTATATCCTGGGACACACGTGAGAGTAACTACATTTTCCTCACCTATATGCAAACAAGACGGCTGTAACTCATTTTACAATTTTTTAGTATGCCACATATTCCAAACTACAAAATTTGACATAGGTTAAGAGGTATCTGGCATGTGTTACTGCCTTTTTAAGGCTGAAATGGTACAAATCCACCTTTTTTTTTTTTTTTTCAAAACCATTGCAAATTGAGATACGTTTTTAATACTGATGGATTCGCCTCATAACGATTATAACTGGACAGTTAATATTAATTTGTGGTAAAGATTTTTCATGAGGTATCGCATTTGAATTTGAGAAGACTGTAGCAAAGTGATTAACAAGAAGATCTACAATTTCTTGACCATCAGATTCATAATTTTTGGAATGTCATTAATACTAAAAAGTTAATGTTTAAAAGATTTATTAATTATAACAGTCTACCTGAAAATGTAGTCTTCTACAGCTCTTATTATGTTTAAAATGAGTTTGTTAGGCCATTTAATGGAAAGTTGAGATATTCCAAATTGTTGTTTGGATTGATGTGTAATTTTTATTAAAAATTAGTACTCTTAATAATTATTGAATAGTTTTATAAGTGCCTTATGTTTATATAATTATTCTATATTTTTGCTGTATATTAGGATGTACATATATTAATAAAGCTTTTTAAAAAAAATCTAATTTCTAGGAATCTTAGCTGATGACATGGGCCTCGGTAAAACATTAACCATGATCTCATTAATGTTAAAGTGCAATGAGGCAGAAACTCTTAGCGAAAGTGAAGATGATGATGAAAACAGTCCCAGAAAAAATTCAAAGGTTGATGGTGGTACATTGGTAGTATGCCCTGCCAGCCTTTTAAATCAGTGGTCCGGAGAATTAGAACGTAGAACCAAGCGAGGCCTAGCTTCTTGTGAAATCTACCATGGGCCCAAAAGAGAAACAAAACCCAAACGATTAGCTAATTATGACATGGTGGTTACTACTTACAGCATTGTGAATAATGAATGTGAGAGAAACGGTGCTTTATTTAAAGTGAAATGGAGACGAATAATCATTGATGAAGCTCATCAGATTAGAAACCATAAGTCTCAAACATCTGATGCTGTATGTAGATTGACAGGTAAATCAAGATGGGCTTTGACAGGAACGCCAGTTCACAACAAAGAGCTTGATATGTACGCATTAATAAAATTTTTAAAATGTACTCCCTTTGATGATTTAAAAGTTTGGAAAAGATGGGTTGGAGATAAGAGCACTGGAGGCGTTCATCGATTACATACAGTAAGTAAAATTAATTATCCTGTTTATTCCACTTAATATTATACAAGGTGTTCATTAAACATATACGGCGAAAATTCAAGGGGTTTTTTCTCTGGACTATTCTAAGAATATTTTCTTTGATGATTTTTGAAAAACTACTTTGTTTCAAAGATACAGAGCGAAAAAATGTTTCTTAACATTTTATTACCAAAAATTACATGAAAAACTTCTTAATCTACATTGTCGAAAAAATGTTTCATGCTGTATTTTCAAAACAAAAGTGGCTTCTTAAAAATCATCATATATTGAGATACAGCGAAAACAATTTTAAAAATAAAAGATTATCCATTAATTTTATTCTAAGATGAATTTAGCATACCTGACAACCCTATGGTTATTTTTTGCTTTATTCAAATATAAAACTCAATTTTCATAATGATTTTGTTACTTACAGGTAATTTCTTCGCTAATGTTAAGGCGAACGAAAGTAGAGTTAATTCAAAATGGCAAGTTAAATGCTATGCCTGAAAGAAAATGGGAATTGATTCCAGTAGATTTAACAGAAAAAGAAAGAGGCGTGTATAGTAAAATCTTGATTTTCTCTAGAACCCTGTTTGCCCAATTCCTCCATCAAAGGGCGGAAAAAAATCAAGATGCCTTTGATTCACATTACAGTGACGCTCCCACGAATTCAACTGGCCCGAATCAAGAATATTTTTTGATGAGGCAAAAATTGTTAAAACTGAATAAACTAAAAGATATAAAACATCATGAGATTTTGGTACTTTTACTTCGGTTAAGGCAAATATGTAATCACCCATCACTGATTACAAATATGTTATCAGAAGATGGTAATGCTGACCTACTAGGAAACGAAGATGATGAAGCTGATAAGGCAGCTCCCCTCAACCTCTTGGATCAATTGAACAAGTAATGTACCCAATGTATTTTTTTTATATGAGGTGCACTTTCTTTTTAAATAGGAGTTGGCTATGAAAATCAAATGTGGCTCCACTTTAAATACACTAATACGTATGACGTTAGTGAGTCATACAAAAAAAAATGATTGTTTGCGTCTTTGATCATACAGGGTGGCACAAAAGTCACTACAGGGTTTTAAATAGTCATAACTATTGTGTTATATATGTTACTGTTAAAGTGTTTATTTAGATAGTTTATAGACTGGCTGGATAGTATACAAACTATCCAAATGGCTGGCTGTTTTGATGGAAAATTATAATTCTACTAAAATAGCTATGAATATTGGTTGGTTTGTATATTATCCAGCTAGTTTACAAACTATACAAGTATTATCGCTAAAACGCAAACCACAAAAAAGTATTATTAAATTGTACTATGATACATGTCCAACAAATTCACGAAAGCGTGACGTTCAGACTGGAAACATTACAAGTTGTGTACTTGCCTCTCAAATACTTGACTTATTTAAGCACAAAAATTAGGAACTAAGACAGTTAGGAATGCGGTTTTTTGCATTTGCTTCCAAAATAATCGTGATCAGCGACCTCAAAAACCCCCGGGAACCCAATTTGGGCCAGTTCTGACTCTTGTTTACAAAGTTCTTTAATATTCCAAAAGCCGTCTCAAAGACTGCATTTTTGGCAGCAATGCAATTTCCGGTTTGTATTAAGATAGAAAGTAGGGACATTTTTTCTAGAAAAATTTTGGAAGCGAATGCAAAAAATTGCATTCCTATCCGTCTTAGTCTAAAAAATTCCAAACTTTTGGCCTTTTTAGTGCTTCATTGCATCGACTAATTAGTGCCCACCTATAAAAAATATTAAACCCTTCAACGCCCTGTATCTCTAAAACTATGTTTATTTGAACTTTCAATAATAGTTGTATTATAGGTACAAATCAAATTAGATTTTGCTTCAGATGCGCTACTTTTCAATATAATTTTTATATTAATCAAGTATAATGTCAAAAAATTATTTTTCTATTTCTAACTATGGAATACAATCAGGGCCGGACTGGCATCAAAAACCGGCCCGGGCGATTATTTACCAAAACGGCCCATTTCTATGTGGCTTTCAGAATAATAGGTAAAAATGCAAAATATGGGACACATGATTTTGAAATAATATTTGGTTTCTTGTGAGAATAAGAATTATTGAGGTTTTTATCTCTTCGGATGTTTGAATTAATATTCAGATTCAGGGTTAATAGGGCTCAGGCAAAAAAACAACCTAAGAAAAAATAACTTTAAGTATTGAAAATAAAAAATATATATATAATTTCTTCTCAAAAATAAAAATAAATAAAAAAATAAAATCAATTCTTTTAACAAATAAAAAAAAATTAAAAAAAAAAACAAAATAAATTCTTTTAACAAATAAAACAAGAAAAACAACAGCATCGTCAATTATATTTATATGGTGAGGAACTTTGTCATTGCCGCACTCTTTTTTGTTAAATGATCGATTATTTCATTATTATTTAATGAATAAAGTACATCCTTTTCAATGGCCATCAACATGAAAGTCTCCACATTTTCCTGAGTAAGACTGTTCCGTACTTTATTTAGTATATAATTAAGTTTTGAAAATGACCGCTCACAGCTCACTTGTGTAATTGATAAAGTTAAAATATACTTATAAGCTATTTCCAAATCAGGATATACTTCTGCATATAAATTATATTTTAGCAATAGTCTATAGCAGCACAAAATGCAGTTTCGACACGTGTTACATTTATTTTTTAATCCATCGCCTTCAATATCATTCGTTTGATGTATTTCAGCTCCAGTAAACTCATCAGGTAGCGATTTGGACAATCGATGCCATTTTGAAGCTAGATCAATTAATTGTGTTTTTAAATTATCATGATCTATGGATGGAAAGAATATTTGTAGTTTAGCTGTGACATTTTTCAAAGCATGTTCGGGCAACTTTGACAGTGATTCAAAACTACTAGGATGAAAACATTCAAAGTCTGTGTATAATTGTTTGTGTTTGACGAAGCGGGATTCAATAGAATTTATAACCTGATCCATTGTCACGAAAAATACTTTGATTTTAAAATCATCTATTGGACTACTTGAATTATTGTCACCACATGTCTCATCATGGAACTTAGTTTTTCTAATCGTTCTTTGAAGTGGGAATTTGGTTTGAATTTCACCAGGAAAATTTTTATCTAAAAAACTGATATTAACCATATTTATGAACTTGTCTGTTTCCTGTATAATACTTTCAAAGTCTCTAGACATATTTTTCAAAGCTTGCAATGTCTCCTCGACCATACGGTAGGACTGCAGAAGGTCCATTCCAGAGGTTTGTAAATATTTCGAAAGAGGAGATATATGAAAAAATATTTTTTTAAATATCACGGACATGATAATGGTTTCATATTTAAGAAAACCATCCAGAAAACACTTCGCCTTGAATTTTACTTCAGCGTTGAAATTATTAGAAAGAGTCATGGTGTGAAGAGTTTCACATAATATAACGAAAAAACCGTTTTTCGTATCGAATATTTTCGTAAGTGCTTTTTCCTTTGCCCACCACCTCGTTTCGCCTATAATATTAATAAAACGAGAATTCGAATCGGTATCCAATGCATTTTTCCATACATTCATGCGAAGGTAAGATTCTCTAACAAAAACTGCAGTTTTATTTATCAATCCAAATAAAGAAACAGCAGGTATGGTTTGATTAGTTACATCGGCCACTACTAAATTCAAGACGTGAGCATAGCACCACACGTGGATCTGTCCAGGGGAATCTTTCGACAACCATGTAGTGAAACCTTTATATTGGCCTTGCATATTACTGGCTCCATCAGTGGAGTTTCCTACGCATCTTCTAATATCTAAATCTAAGTCCTTCAAACATTGTGCTATCATTTCATACATGTCTTTTCCTTTACTGGAATTACAATTTATCAGTCGAATTAACCTTTCATGCACTACCCTATCCGTTACAAATCTAATGATAACAGAACATTGATCAACTACGTTAATATCTTGGGTAGTATCGATTTGGATAGAAAATATTTCAGCCCTCTTGACGTCATCTGAAATTTTTTTCTTAATTAAGTTTGATATGCCTGACAATATTTCGTTTACAGTCGTCTTGGATAATAGTGATATGAAAGCGCCTCTTCCTCGACGTTGTCCGCATTCTTCTGATTCTTGGAAATTTCCATTAGTAGGAGTACTTGGTTGAATTGGATGAAGACTTCGGCGATTCAAGTTACGTAACCGATTTTTTTTACTTTGTTCTGCAACTTTTTGAATATGATTATGAAGTATTGGGTCGAATTTAGCTATCAATAAAATTATTTCTAAGAAATTGCCATGATCAATATTATCGTTGAGTAGTGTATAGGCAGCTTCATTTTCACTACCGCCTCGATAGCTCAAACCCCGTTTTCCTATCATTTTAATAGTTTCAATTATTCTAATTATTATTTGTCTGTTATTTTCAATTTTCATTCTGTGTTCTGCTGCAGCACTTGAAAATAACAGAGAATGAATGTCTCCCTTGTTTTTATGTAAAAGGTAAGCCTCAGAACTATTAATATGAGTTCTATTCATCTCATGTTCCTCTAATCTTGTATAAATATGTTTGACAGATATTTTGATACTGATACCTGTAGCGAGAGATGGAAGTTGGTCATCTTTACACAATCCTAGACAAATCCAACAATAAAACATTTGTTTTGATTCATTGTAACTCAACCAATTTCGTTTTCCACCTGTTTTTTTATTATAAATCAGATCATTGTTACAACTTGATATAAGAGGTTGACGGGGATGACCTTTCAAAAATAAATCTAGTTCTCGATTTGATGGCCTGGTGAAAAAAAATCAATATTCTCAATGATAATTTGTTTATCTGATGATGACAAGTGTATTTCAACATTTTCTCCACACGTGTCAGAAGTTTCAGAACTCGCATCAGAATCTTTATTATGGTTTGTTGTAGCTTTGTCACTGCCAATCTCAGAGTTTATGATATCATTATTGTCATGGGGTATATCTGAGTTTTCTGAAACACATTGATTTGAACTTGTTGTATTATTGTCATTGGGGATATCTGAGTTTTCTGAAACAAATTGATTTGAACTTGTTGAATTATTGTCATTTAACTTGTTCCTCTTGCCACCAAATAAATCGGAAATTTTATGGCAGCTCTCAGCACTTCGTTCAAGGAATTTTCTCTTTCTCTCCCTTTCTTTCTCTGCCCCACCTTTCTGTTTTTTCATTTTAATAATTATTAACTGTAAGGAAACAATTCAAAAGTCAATTGAGAATATATTGCAAATATAATAGCACGGGAGACAGCGTTGTATTTTGGAAAGTCATTTCAGGTCGCTTGATTTTGTGTATAATCGATAGCCTAGATATTGCTAAAAATCTAAATAAGCGTCAGCTGTTACAATCTTAGTGGACCTGGTCCATTTATTAGAATATAGGGTTTCCGAACCAGGTCCACCAAGATTTTAACAGCTGATGCTTGTTTCGATTATAAGCCATATCTAAGCTATCGATTACACACAAAATCAAGCGACCTGAAATGACTTTTAAAAATACAACGCTGGCTCCCCGGGCTATAAAATCACAGGTCAATCAACAAAATTTTTTATCACACCTTCAACCCAATTGGAATTGAAAAAGTATTATTTTTTTTACCATAATACCTTCATTACAGTTCAACTGGCCCGTTCACTCTCATTTTTGATAAAAAAATAATCACATGTAAACAAAATAACCGTCAGAATTTTTAATTCATTTTAAAAATTAATTCTAATGTCTAGGTAGGTTCACTGTTGGGTTCTAATTAACAGTGATGTTTTTGAAGTGGCGCTGGGAAACAGTTACAAAGCCTACACAGAACACGAGAGTTGATGCCGACGAAACAGAAAAAAAAATATTAATTATTATTATTGTTATTAATTATATTATAGTTTACTATAATTTAAAAAGCTCACAGGCTGAATCTGAAAATACTAACATACAATTTTTCAGAAATGAAGTGTGATTTTCAACATACGAGTCACTGAAAGAATTTAATGGGAATTTCCCTGGCTCTATAACATTTTAATTCCAGCCACCCCCCCCCCCCCCCCCGAACCCCGAAACATATTGATATTTATTAAGAAAAACAACTTTTATCATATCATAATTTCAAGTAAAAATAATTTTATAACCCACAAATCTTCCCCAAAACATTTTTCTGGCTACGGCCTTGGATAAAAGTGTTTATAAATCTATGATTAATACAAGTTCAAACGTGAAAGCGAACAGGTCCATTATGCAATTTTTATAGGTTAGCTAATAAATTCAACTTAGTTAATAGTTTATAGATAGATACTTTCTTTACTCTCCATTTGGCAACAGGATATTTTAAATTTCGACCACTAAGTACATCACATAAAGAAAGAACAAAAAATGTAATATACTTGCCACATACTTTTAACTAAACGTTATAGGGCTGCAAATATCACACACTACACACTCTTTTGATAAATTTTTAATTCCAAGACGACTAGACAAGACTCATCGGCGGCTAAATGTTATATGTCCGTCCCTACATAGAAAAAAAATTGATGCCGACTTCTCTACTCTCCTGTTTCGTATTTTCGAATGTTCGCGATTGAGAATTGAGACGGAGCGCTTACACACAATTTGCAGGCTGATCATTCAACAGAGCTGGACCGGCCCAAATACACCTCCGGCCTTTCGGGCGATCGCCCGATCGCCCGATATGCCAGTCCGGCCCTGAATACAATCATTTAAAACATTTTATTTCCTTGAAAAAGTTGAGTGTCTTAAAACATGAAATAATTTTAGGTTAACACTAGCAGATGATAATGCTCCAGAAAACTCAAATGTAGCTGAAGGAACTGCTGAAGAAGCTATGAGTTTAAAGGACGTGGCAAAAACTGTGTTGAGTCCTTCGGATCCAGTATTTTCAAAGACCAGCATAAGCAGTAAAATTAAAGTTTTAATAAAATTACTTAAAGAAAAAATCGTCCAGAGCAATGATAAAGCAATTATAGTGTCACAATGGCCTTCATTTCTACACTTAATAGCTAATCAGTTAAAAGAGGAAGGATTTATATTTGATCAACTCGATGGCCAAGTCCCGGTGTGTAAAAGAATGGAAATGGTGGATAGGTTAGTAATTTAGCAAATGATTTATAAGAATAAAAAACTACTATTCAAAACAATCCCTATTGTTAGAGCAGTTGCATGACTTTTCAATTAGTATGATTATTGTAAAAAGGGGTCTTTAAAAATATGTTGACTGCCAACAATTATTTATTTTTAACAACCAATCAATCCCGTTACTAACTATATTATTGGGCAAATAGAAATAATCAGTGAATAATTATTTCGGTACACATTATTAAAACACGTATTGAAAATAACGTGATAGTCAATACACTAGGAAAAAAGTTATATTAAAAAATCCAGGTGTGTTAAAGTGGCAAAAAAATTAAAAACTAATTATGTTAGCAAAAGGACCACGCACAAAAAGATAGGAAATGCACTCTCGGTCAAATTGTCTGAATTTTTGATATGTTATACATTTTGTTATCCTGAACAAAAGTCTCAATGGGCACTAAGCTCCAAAGTCCATGGTTTGGCTCCTATGGAGCTCCGAAGCTCCGTAACTCCACCATAGTATAGAAACCTCTAAAACGCATGTCACCTTTTTGAAAATCATATTTTAAGTTTTTGAGGATGCTGAATTGAAATATGTCAAATCCATAATATTGGCAATTGACAGCTGTCAAATGCTTTAAAACAAGATAAATCTTATATTAATCTTATATTATCGATTTTACATCTTATTTGAATTCAGTGTCCTCAAAACATATGATAACATCCTAAAGGATTTCTTTTTTATGCATTTGACAGCTGTCAACTGTCAATATTATCGATTTGCCATCTTATTTGAATTCAGCGTCCTCAAAAACATATGATAACATTCTTTAATATAAGATTTGTTTTTCTTTGAAGCGTTTGACAGCTGTCAATTGTCAATATTATCGATTTGACATCTTATTTGAATTCAGCGTCCTCAAAAACATATGATAAAATCCTTTAATGTGCGATTTCTTTTTTTTAGCATTTGACAGCGGTCAACTGTCAATATTATCGATTTGACATCTTATTTGAATTCAGCGTCCTCAAAAACATGATAACATTCTTTAATATAAGATGTTTTTCTTTGAAGGTTTGACAGCTGTCAACTGTCAATATTATCGATTTGACATCTTATTTGAATTCAGCGTCCTCAAAAACATATGATAACATTCTTTAATATAAGATGTTTTTCTTTGAAGGTTTGACAGCTGTCAACTGTCAATATTATCGATTTGACATCTTATTTGAATTCAGCGTCCTCAAAAACATATGATAACATTCTTTAATATAAGATTTGTTTTTCTTTGAAGCATTTGACAGCTGTCAACTGTCAATATTATCGATTTGACATCATATTCAAATTCAGCATTCTCAAAAACTTAAGGACATACTTTAAAATAATTAAAATATGATTTTCAAAAAGGTGACATGCATTTTAGAGGTTTCTATACTATGGTGGAGTCACGGGGCTCCATAGGAGCCAAACCATGGACTTTTGGAGCTTAGTGCCCATTGAGACTTTTGTTCAGGATGACAAAATGTATAACATATCAAAAATTCAGACAATTTGACCGAGAGTGCATTTCCTATCTTTTTGTGCGGGGTCCTTTGATACAGTCAGAAAATATGAATTTTCGTAAATAGCGAGTCACTTTTTGTATTTGACGTTTCTTTATTAATTTGTAGGTTAAATAATCCAAAAGACAATTTGAAAATTCTCCTGCTTTCCCTAACCGCTGGTGGTGTGGGATTGAATTTGGTGGGGGCCAATCATTTAATACTGCTGGATTTACATTGGAATCCACAATTGGAGAATCAGGCCCAAGATAGAATATACAGAGTTGGTCAGGAGAAACCAGTATTTGTTTATAAATTTATGGCGACGGATACCATAGAAAAAAGAATTTTAGACCTCCAGGAAAAAAAACTGGAAATGGCTAATAGTATGTTGACTGGAAGTAGCCAGGTCAATAAAAATAAGTTAACTATACAAGATATAAAAATGTTATTTGAAATGTAAATAATTTTATCTGTGAAATCGTCGGTTGAGAAGTAATTTTCTATTAGTTTTAGTATTACAAATTTGAAATTTTTATTCTCCATTAATGAAGACAATTCTAGTCAATTTTTGTTCTCCATACGACTTCGTAGGATATTAGATAGTATTGTACAAGCTAGAATTAAATAAGACTTAGGATATAACTTATTTTTAACCAACTTCGAAAAAGGAGGAGATTATCAATTCGTCGCAATATATTTTTTTTATGTATGTTCAGCGATAATTCTTTAACACGGTCTCCGATTTCAATGATTCTTTTTTTGTTAGAAAGGGGGTACTTCAGGGGTGGTCCCACATAAATTTGGTCAAAATCTAATAATTGGGTCCATGAGAAAATCCTCAAGTTCTTAATTTTTTATGTATGTTTAGCGACAATGCTTTACCACCTTGTCCGATTAATATGATTCTTTTTTGTAAGTAAGGGGGTGGTTCCATATAAATTTGGTTAAGATGTGATGGCAACTGCACGTTTTTGAAGTCGGTTTTTAATTTTTTTTTAATGGGTATAAGATAGTTTAAATCGAGAAATCTCAACCAATGTAATGTCTAATTTTTATATTTGTAAAATTTTATTTAATAACCAATAGTATATTAAAGAAATTGTTTTTAAACGTTAGTTTTTTTTTAGTAGAAGGGATTTTTCTAAACTAATTAATTTTCTTCTCTTGTTCTTTACTGGTATAATATTTCTATTTCAAAATGCAACGGCTATGTCTGCTGAGGGCACAGATACATAATAACACAATACAATAATTCTTAATAATAACATTGTATAAATATATCTAGTAGCTCAGTCCAATGCTAATATTTGTTTGAAGTTGAAAAGAGACCATCACCAGATTGAGACTCTTCAAATTTCAATACGTCATTAAAGTGTGATGAAATTTTGGTTCCATTGACAGTTAATTATAACCAAACTTTTAACAAGATTTGACATATATGTTTTTTATTAAATATCATAAAAAGTAATTTAAAGGTATGTAATTGGTTGCTAAAGGATTATATACTTAATGCATGTTGTCTTATGTTAGAAAAATATTTATAAAAGTTTAAAAACAATATAATTTAGGTAAACAAAAGCACAGTAATTGTCAGTGCAACCATAATTACGTCATCACTAATTTAGCGTATTTCTTCTGAGACTCCTACGCTTATGCCAATTCAAAATAGATGGCATTGTGTTACAACTGGCTCTGTGTCAAAATTCAAAATAAACTTGATGTTGCCGACCTCCCCACTCTATCTCGGAACCCTAGGAAGACAGACAGGGCAACCTATGCCCACCTTCTCCAAGAGGCTTTGAGAGAGATGGAGAGGCCGAAACACCAAACAATAATACTGCTTTGGAAAAGTACACTGTTAGAAGTTAAAGAATTAACTTCAAAATTGTTTTAAAATTATTTATCACTCTGTATAGCCACTTCATAAAACACGTGTTAACATGGTTTTATAACGTTTTCTTAAATATCTCTTAAACAATGTTTGAAATGTAATTAATTAAGAAACAAAATAAAGAATGTCTTTAAAGGGCATAAGGCCTATCACTTCATCGCGTTCGGCTGGTCGAAAATCAAGTCCCCGCTCTCCTGTTCCTGGACACTGCAACGGGCAGACGTGGTACCGTCGACCCCAGTGGCGGCGATATCCTAATTCGCTGACTAACAGATACTACAACGGGCAGATGTGGTACCGTCGACCCCAGTGGCGGCGATATCCTAATTCGCTGACTCTAACAACACGAACACTATCCAAAGCACAATAAACAATGCCTATAAGAAACCCTGTCCTCTCAGGCTGGTCCAACACATAGAAAAACTAAAACGTCCAACACAATCAGACAACTACCGCATGTTGGTGTCATGAGTTGGATCACCTGAGGAGGATGGCTAGGAAATCTTTTAATAAGGCAAGAACCACAAAACTCAAAGAGGACTGGGATACTTACAAATCTCACCTCAGAGAATACAAAATCGTCAGTCAAAAACAGAGATGCATGGAGATCCTACTGCGAAGAAATCGAAGATTTCCTGCAGCTCTCTTAAAAGATCCGCACCGAAGCATTGGTGCGCTAATCAAAGAGGATGGCACGAAAACTGCCAACCTCGAAGATAGCATCAAACTTCTGTCGACACACTTCCCTGACTCGTTCATCACAGATGTGGCGGACTGGGCAGAGGAAGAATAAAATCCATCTGTCTATGATTGGCAAACTGCCAAACACATTGTAGACGATGAAAAAATTAGATAGGTAATATCTAGCTTCTCTCCATTTAAATTGCCAGAACCTGACGGTATCTATCCAGCCCTACTCATTGGGGTCTGGAAGAACTCGTACCGCACCTGGTGGGTATATTCAGATCCTCGTTGGCTCTGAGGTATATCGCCAAAAAATGGAGAGAGGTAAAAATGGTATTTATACCCAAACCTGGAAGGATGGATTGCATTGTCCCAAAAACATACTGACCAATTAGTCTGACATCGTTTTCCTTGAAGACATTGGAAAGGCTATGTGAAAGGTACATAAGGGATGCAATGATTACAACAATCACAGGCAGATTTACTGATTGAGCCCTTCATCTAGTTGCTGGCCGGAGAGAAAGATCCCTGGACAATAAGGAGTCCGCCTTGTGTGTTTTCATACACAGAAGGTGCTTTTGATAAAACCACCTTCCCAAAGATAATACACTCACTAACCAATAGAAATGTTCCACAAATGGTTAGTGGGTGGATACATAACATGCTCTCAAAGCAAGCAGTAAACATAAGTGTAGAAGATGTGAATATAAGAGGTTTGGTTGTGAGGGGATGTTCACAGGGAGGGGTGCTATCACCTCTACTGTGGAATATGGCCTTCAATAATGACGGTCAGTACACAATAGCATATATGTAGATGACCTGGTCATTCTGCAAACAGGGAATTTTGAGAACATACTCTGCGAAAGAATGCAAGTAGCTCTAAAAATTATCGAACAGTGATGCAAGGACCATTCACTGTCTATCAATCCTAAGAAGATATAAATGGTCCTTTTCACAAGGAAAATGATGAAAATGGAATTAAAACCTCCAGAACTCCTAAACATAAAACTAAACTTTGCAATAGAGGTGAAGTACCTAGGTCTCACCTTTGACAGCAAGTTAACATGGAACTCGCATTTAGAAAACAGTTGGAAGAGCATACATTGCTTATGAACAATGCCGCCGAACCGTGGGGCGCACCTGAGGTTTCTCCCCCAGAGTCGTCGCATGGACTTACACGGTTATCATAAGACCTATTCTAACATACGGTGCAGTTGTTTGGGGTACGTAAAACCCAAATATTAACGGCTATCCGTAAACTAGAACAAATTCAAAGAATAGCATGTCTCAACATAACAGAAGCCATGAAAACAACACCGACCAGAGTCATGGAAATCATTCTTAGTCTCACTCCCCTTGATATTTACATCAAGGAGGTTGCTCTGACGATAATGACACGCCTCCGCACGGTTGGAATAGAACCTGATGTAGGATCTGGTGAGGCGAGACGTCGCTTTTGGCAGGAGGCGCTCGATACGCTCCCACTGCTTTAAGCGAACATGGACTCCATCTCACCGAAATATATCTTCCATAAGCCATATAAAGTTATAATAGAACAAATGGAAGAGCCGGAAATGGCAGGTACAATTCATATCTACACCAACGGTTCTAAAACAAGGCTCAGGATGTGGAATATACTACAGATTCTTAAACCTAAACATAAGCAATAGTGTCAGTGTAGTTTAAACAGAGCCAAACGGGGATTCTCATAGTAGCAAAAGAAATAACCAGAAACAATATCAATGGAAGGAACATGCTCATCTATACAGATACAGCACTACTCGCCCTGAATAGACCACGAATTTACTCAGGGATAGTACTAGAATGTCACGAAGCTTTGGCCGAAGTATCCATCAACAATGTGGTCACCTTAAGATGGATCAAAGGTCACACCACATCGAAACGTAACCGTCTTGCTGATTCACTAGCCAAGAAAGCAGCCAACCAAATACTTTTTGGACCTGGCCCTTCTATTGGCCTGACGAAATCGGTAGTGACAGACCTAATCAAAGAACATTCCCTTGTGAAATTCAAGAAAAGATGGGATGAAACAAGAAACTGCAGAGTTGCCAGGGAGCTCTTAAGTTATTCTGACAACACTGCAGCAAACAAATACTTAGACTATGACTAGACAGAATCTGCGCCAAGTCACAGGCATTCTGACTTGTCATTGCCAATTACGAAAGCATCTCCATATCATGGGGCTGTCAGAATCCGCACGCTGCAGAAGGTGCGAAAAAGAAGATGAGACCATCGAGCATATCATTTACGATTGCTCGACGCTCTCATTTATTAGATTTGTGTTCGGCGAGTATCGGCTAACACCGGCCGATATAAGAGAAGCACCTCTTGGCGACGTTGTCAAATACAATAAATCTGTAGGCTGGCTCACGAGCTAGGAGGTGCCTATCATCTCAGGAGGATGCACAATGGGCCTAATGAGGCTTAAGTGCCGTGGAGGTAACCCACCCTCCATACGTTACATATACTGATACAACTAAACAAATTAAATGCTGCCATATTTATTCCATTTTGTTTATTTGTGGCATTTGATTTCGTTGCAAGTCGCAATATCCGCAGTGTGCGTTTATTGTTCTCTTTGGTAATTAAACATTTTAGTTTATGCTGTCAGGATATACCTATACAGGGTGTCCCATTAGTGCGAAATTACTCGTTATTTCAATTTGTGTTTAGACACGCAAACAAGTTTCAATTAAAAGTTATATGGGTTTGAAAAAGTAATATTTTTTGGATATACAGGGTATTAGGTTTTTGCCTGGCAAATACAAATATATATTTTTTAAATAGAATACTCTTTATTTTAGTTCAGTTTAGGATGGTCTGGTAATACTTTATTCTACACTAGGATGTTTTTTAAAAATGATTACAAACAATTTTTTTGTATCTGCAAAAAATTGAAATTCATTTTTTCGCGCCATTCGGTTGTATATTTACTCTGTCATTAGTTAAAATACACCGTATTGGCTTCGGAGAATATTTACATGAAAAATTTGACGGCTCTAATAACATTGCAATCATATATAGCAATATTAAACTAAAAAAGCTTCTGTAAAATGTCAATCCATGTAGTTAAAGGTATTAGAATTAGACCCGAGAATACTGATCAAGGAGAAGCGACAGCTTGGTGTTTTCAGTGTACCGTTTTGTAACGCGCATGTGTGAAAATAAGTTGTGTATCACTCAAAATTATGTTATCTGTCAAAGTCAGTCCAAGTTGTGTTTAGTACTGAGCAATGTTAAGTGATATTTTTTGGTGTTTGTTTTGTGTAGTAATAAGACGAATATTTTTACACACTTAGGTATTCTAATACAGATATAAAATGTGCCCAAAAAATTATTAGGAAACTAAGAATTTTATCACATCTATAAATATTAAGTATAATGATTTAATCATTTTTGACATTTTATTTTTCATATGTAGGTATTGGATTTTCTGAAATATATGTCTTTTTTTAAATAAATTGAATAAATGAATTGCAGATTTTGTTTATTTTATTTTGAAATTATATTTAAA